CACATGTTTCTAAATGTGGAGAGAAAAAACGGAGGACCCAGAAAAAATTCACGCGACCACGGGGAGAGAGACATGCAAACTCAAATTGTACAGGCGTCAGGCTCAGGATCGAACCCACGACATGCCGTATACCAGGCGAAGTAGTCAACATCTCGCCACCGTGGCTGCACAATAACTATATATTTTCATTTAAACATCTTCATCCATTCATTCCCCTACCCATATCAGGGGGCTCGGTCTACCAGACTGACAGTTTTGTCTCATTCACACGGTCTTTAACCACAGGTCCGAAACACTAATCTTCTTTCTGCTTCTTCCCTTGCACTGCTTGACTTTGGAATTACATCACAAGTTATTACAATTTTGGTCAGTTAACAAAAAAAATCCCTATTAACACCTATCCATTGTACCTCAAGTAGTGCTGTTTTACTGGCCACTTGACATTGTGCCTTTGGCCCTGTGGCCAGCACCCATGTGAAAGTAAAACGTTACTAAAAGCAAGCAGATAAGGGCTGCACCATGAGACATGCACACACGTGTCTCAAGGCTGCTGGACACGTTGCACAAAAGTGACAATCAGGTGTACAAACATCACCCTAGAGCTCTCTTTGCTGTTTGTTGGACATCGCTGTTGTGACCTCAACTCTACAATGCCAGACACACTTATGCAATTTCCCACAGAAATGCCTGCATGGCTCCAGGAATGGACTTGGCATGGCTTCTTTACTTGCCTAGTCACCCTCTGTTATGTACTTCTTTGTGTTGTATGCTATGTATATCTTCTCTCCTTGCTCTGCAGGGTTTTCTGGTTCCCTCCCATTGCTAAAAATCATACAAAGGCATTGGTGTTGGCAAAACATCTCAATGTAGGACCCCTCCTGAAAACAAGTATTCATATTGAGTGTGCCTTTCCTGGTTAAATAAGGAATGAGTATTCTTATTATTTTGAAACACTCTTAATACAATAGCCTATTAAGACAAACAATACAGCTTTTTTTTTTACATGAGCAAGGATTCATGGCCAACGCTGGTACCAGGATGTAAAGTGTAAGTTACAGTTACGCAACTTTATAATGACAATATAATTAAGTTTAAATACACATCTTGTGTCTGTTAAGAAGAACATGGTTAGAGAAAATAAACTTGTCAATTACTTGACGCTGAAAGTCAAACACCATGATTACCATACCATCGCCTGTCAGCAAATGTCTTGAGGCACACTGTGTTTTCTTTAATAGTCGTTTTATTTGATTTTGATGTCTTCAATACCTGCATTATTCTCAAAAACAAACAAACCATATAATGTTTGGCTTAGCTAATCCTAATTATGAACCACGCCTTGCCAACGTTGATGCACGTTCCAATTTTGATTTGGCCAATGTATTTTGTGAAAAGTGAGGCCTTCCACTTTAAGAAACAAATGTCCTCTGCCATTGGAGCCAACTGTGGAAACCATGAATGGATTACAGAAATACATTTCTGTTGTAGGTATATATGTTGGACTTCTTTCCCACCTTACATAGCGAATCGTGCTAATCGATGGAGTTATAATGACATTGATAGCTATTTGTCAATCCCCTGCTGGATGAAGGCCACCCAATCCTATGTCGGTCATGTGTTTTTATCATACTTTATTACCACGCTGGTCAGTGCCTTCTGTGTTGGGTTGATGCTACAATTGGTTCAGATATCACTCGCCACTGATTTTAGTCATGGGCGGGATTTTGACTGAGATAACTGGGTTGATAGCAAGGCGTACAACTATTGCACCACAGCTCCCCCATTCGAGTTTTTGTTTTTATGGATCATGAGTAGTTTATTAGAAAATCAATCCTATAATTTGCAATTCTTTGAGATAAAAGGTTACATGTTAGAGCTGGATGAAAACTCAAGATAATGAGAATTATGGATATCCATTATTGGATCCCTACGCAGATTAGAGGGATCTCACTGTGTATGTCCTTGCATATGCCTAAAATCCAGCACTTGAGATTTGTGAAATTCACAAACACAAGAGGCTGGGAGGTTTGTGAACCCTTCTATGGGTTTTCTCTGGGTTCTTCGGTTTCCTTACACATGCAAATTTAAAATGGACTTGGCTACAATTCATGATGTAGGGCCCCCCCTTAAAAGTCTTAATTAAGCCTCACTTCGGCTTTCCTAGATACAGAACATTTTATTAGAATATAAAATATCGTACCAAATGGTCGAGAATCACACAACAGACACAAACTGCAAGAGGCTTGTCAGAAATCTGAGATGGCATATATCTGCAAATGGCTCTATTAAGAGCTGCCCATGCTGGTTAGGACATAGATTAACTGCTTTATTAAAATGGTTAAGCCTTAAACCTGCTGAATGTGATAATTCATGACATCAGCAGTCTGATTCATGCGGAGTTTTTTCACACTTTTTTGTGGAATCCCTTGTCGAAAATTTATGCCAAAGCAATTCCACTAAATTTGAGACAGTTTTTGCCCAAATTCGTGACGTGGATGGGGTGGAGCCCCATTCCACAAAATATTCTGCAGCCAATCGGAAGGCAGGGAAGTGTCAATGGCAATCGAACTCTACGAACTAACGTCAGCACATATAGGAATTGGTTTTAACCTTTCTGGAAATAAAACAAGTGTTAAGATTCATATTCTTGGTTCTTTCGGTAAAGTCATGTAGAAGGGAAACAATAAAATAATAAAAATATAAAACAATAAAATTATCACGACGTTTCGACTGCAACACAAGCAATCGTCATCAGGTGTGAAAACCACAGCAAGAAAATTTAAACGTCGTGAGAATGTTATTGTTTCCCTTCTACGTGACTTTACCGAAAGAACCAACAATATGAATCCCTGCAGTCACGAAAGCTTTAAATCAAAATTCAGGTGTTAAGATGTTTAAACACCAAATATAAACCTTTTGCAAGGAATCCTGTCTGCATTAACCACACTTACTTGTGGCGAACATGCAAACAAAAACATGCTCTGGTCATATATGCATTGTCTTTGAAACTGACATCTTTACACCTGTTTCATTGCCAGAAAGGGGAAAACCAATTCTTACATTTTGATACTGGCAAGAAAGGTCCCATGATGTAGCTGCTCGCCACGGGCTATAAATGCCCTGGTAGTGCATCCTTGTCTTTGTGCTGTTCGCCTTTTGGCGTTCTCTGGTCTAACACTGTTTGAGACTAGGCTCTAAGAAAGCTGTCTCATATCAGAGCATGTCTTTTGTTTGCATGTTCACCACAAGTATGGGTGGTTAATGCAGACATGATTCCTTGCAAAAGGTTTCAGTTTGAACTTTTACCATCTTAACACAGCTGCTTTATTGCCAGAAAGGGTAAAGATGTTTAAAGTAGTCTGCATCTCAGCCAGTTTACACAAGGGTGGCTTGGGCAGGCCGAACTGGAATTAGGCAGAGGCAAATCTCACAAATCCAATTTTGATGTAAATATAACATCTAAATGGAGCTGTATTTCAAGACACTGTACAAAAATTAGGCCATGTCCATCACGGGAAACCACCGAAAAGAGCAAGACACAAACATATATCTACATTTCCAACGGGCAATCAAGAGGAAGAGTCTTGAGCCTAGACTTGTACAGGGGCAGGGAGTTGTCAGCAATTCTAAACCAAATCTAAACTAAAAAAAATTAATTTTACCATGTAAGGCCCACTGAACAATATAGCTCTTTTTCAGAAGCGACCTGGCCACAAATGATAGCTCAACGAAGTGGCTTATCATGTGGACATTTATAGCAACCAACCACTATAAAGGCATGTTTCTAAATGTGGACAAAAAAAACAGAGGAACCAGAGAATCCACACAATCATGGGGAGAACATGCAAACCCCAAATATACAGGAATCAGGGTCGGGATGGAACCCACGACCTCCTGTATACCAGGCGAGGTAGTTAGCATTTCGCCACTGCAGCACCCCTCCATACAGTCCCAGAGTCTGCATTTCCACAGAGGAAGATATTTGTAATTTACCTACAAAGTTGCACAACGTATCCGGGTGGGAATGGTAAAGGTAGAACAAGCCCTTACGACTGATTAACTGCAACAAACCGTTTGGGTGCCTTGAGAACACAAAAGTAAATTCGTCAGCAAAAGCAAACTTTATCATATGAGTAGTAATATGACTCATTGTAATAAATTGTGTAATAATAAAATTTACTTCGGTCAGTGAAACCAACTCGGTGCGTGAAACCGACTCGGTGCTCTGACCCATGAACCCATCGGCTACCTCATCATTTGAACTCCCTTGATGGAACGTTTTCAAAACTTCTGAGGCTGTTTCCCACCAACACATACATTAGGCCGTACATGTTAACTCTGCCCTTCATTTTTCTCCCGGGTCAATAAAATGTGTTCCACTGCGTGGAGGCTGTTCTATAAAGTTTCCCCTGCCATAAGAATGTGGCCTCTTTATCAATGACTCGGGGTTGTAACCGTGACTTAACCACTGTCCCACGCTCACATGAGCGGGAAACCGCTGTGACTTTTACTTTTTTGACATGCCCAAAAAGTTTTGTATATTTCTAACCTGGCCAAAAAAAAGCTTTTTTGAATGAGTAACTTAATTGATAGCTGAAGCATGAATGTTGGATTAATTTGAAGCTTTTAATAAACATTTTTGTTAAACATTATATCTGTTGGATTGAGATGCGTTTTAGATAAGCAATTGGGCTGAAATAATTATTTCTCTCAACACGAGTGGGAGACTGGCAGTCCAGTAAAAATATAAATTGCCGATCTGCCCTTTCTCCTCTGTTTAATTCATGGTAAATATAACGAACAATCTTTCCTCTCTAAAATTTCAGCATGTGTTCACATGTGTGCGTACGTGCAAGTGCGTACGCCATGCAAGTGTGTGAGTGTACGTCTCTGCGTGTGTCACGCGTATCTCCACGACACCAACGACTGACACGTGTGCTGAGGTGTGCTGCCGTGTGATTGGGCATGGTGAGACGTGATGAGCCACGGCCGTGACGTACTTTGCAGGAGGTAGTACATGAGGCTGCCACCTCCAGTTGACATGACTCCCCAGAACACGGCGAGCTGCCGAAGGGCACGCAGCGAAACAGGCATGGCTGCGGACACGCCACCTGCACAGGGAACCGACGACACAGAAGTCTGTAAACCGGAATGCCAAGCTTCAAGTTGCCCGTCTGTTATTAGGATAAGAAATACGTGGCAAATGCCCACAGGCAATGCATGCAGTTCACAGTACATGCACAGCCCTTACTGTCAATGCACTGCTGGATGAGGGCCTGCCCACGCCGTGCAGGTCAACGGGATTATTTGTATGGTGAAAAAGGAGTTCATCATATATATATTTGACCATGCTGGTCATTCGGGGGTTTAATAGGGTAGTTACAACATTGTACAATGGAGGCATATTTGATGATGACATTTTCTACGTGCATGGCAAATGTAATGAAATACCGACATTTAAATTACAGTTTTAACTTTAGTCACATTTTGCATTTAAGGCACGGACACACAGTAATACATAACATCCCTAAGTAGCAAAATAGATTTGTATACTACAGTATCTAAAAGTGCAACATACATGTGCACAGCTGTCCATTACAGTATGTCACCTCTGCAAATGTCATCATCAACCGTACTCTATCCACTGCTGGATGAAGGTCTCGGATAAAATCCGTTGCCATCCTTCACGGTGGTGCGATGGGCACCTACACCCCATCACAAATTCCCCAATCTTCATGCAAATCCAGTGCCGGAGCATGGGTGTGCAAGATCACGCCACCACTAGACAATCTCACATCATCCCAAAATCCGATAACCACCGCAACTGAAACATTCACTAAATTTATGGGTAAGGATTCGAATGTCAGCGACCACTTATTGAATGTTAAATAATGACATGCATTGTGAAGTCACTGGAAAGCTTTTGTGTACCCATTGCATTCCGAATTTGAAATCCCTTTAATAAAGAGGCTCTCAAGACTGACCACAGCTTGTTGAGTTGTCCGCTGTTTGTTGATTAACTGTGAATAACCAAATAATAGGTACTGCATATTCTCAGATTAACATGATCCATTGTAATGTATATGATTACATTCACCTCCATGATCTTCACAGTGATGGTATCACCTTTATTCATCCGAAACCGAAACAAGAAGACGTCTTCACAATTGTGGCTAATCGCCTGATGTTGCTAGTTGTAATCATCAGCGAAACGTCGGACCCGAATTGTAAATGTTGTGGATATAGTCTCCGACACACCGGTGTGCTGATATCGTAACCAATTGGCACGTTTTGTTCACGTGACAATTAGTTACTCGTTGGCTGTCGGGTGGTGGCGGGCTTAACGACACAACAATATTTACGCGATCTAACACCCACCCCACCCAACAACCCCTTTATTACTGATTAAATTGGTCACTAAACCCTTTAACTTCGTGTTAAACAGTTGCCGTGTTTGGTATCGCGGCGCCCCCTTGTGGACACGAAGCTCCCACCTTGCTGCTCCCCGCCCCCTACATCTCTCCTCCACACTCCCACCGCCGCAGCCGGGGCTTGCCCCGCACGCCGCCCCGACGTGAGGCTGCGCGGGCGACGCGGCCAGGCAACGACGGGGGGCTGGGCCGCGGCAGTGGGGAGGCCTCGTGCGGAGGCGACCACCCGGCGGGGTGTTTGAGACGCCGCTTCTCGCGCGGCCTCGCGGGGCCACGCGGGGCCTCGCGGGGCCACGCGGGGCCACGGTCACCCGGCGGCGGCGGTGGACGAGGCCTCGCGGTCTCTAGCCCAGTGAGACTGGCAAGCTGCTTACGGACACGCGGACAAACGCGTACACCCAGAAGACGCCTCCTCCACCAACACCGACGCCGGGCTGCCGTGGCCGGTGGTGCAACCACGCCAGGCCGCCTTTGTCTCCCTCATTGCCGATGTCTCTAACAACGCAACGAGTGCTCACTTGAAAGTCGACCGAGACGGTGATGTTGAGGCCCCGATGGGGGGGAGGGGGGTGACTCGTACTCGGGTGCCCCGGGTTTGGATATCGAGCGCGGTGCGCTAACCACTGCGCCACCGCTCCTCACACAGGAGACGAGTGCGCTAACCACTGCGCCACCGCTCCGCACACAGGAGACGAGTGCGCTAACCACTGCGCCACCGCTCCGCACACAGAGGAGAAGTCCACCACAAACATCCACGACCCCGCGCTGACCTCTCAGCTGACGACGCCTGGGCCGCCGCGACCTCGTGCGAGTGGGAGGGTGTGGGGAGCGGTGGCGCAGTGGTTAGCGCACTCGTCTCCTGTGTGAGTGAATGGGTGGAGGGGAGCGGTGGCGCAGTGGTTAGCGCACTCGTCTCCTGTGTGAGTGAATGGGTGGTGGGGAGCGGTGGCGCAGTGGTTAGCGCACTCGTCCCCTGTGAGTGAATGGGTGGTGGGGAGCGGTGGCGCAGTGGTTAGCGCACTCGTCTCCTGTGTGAGTGAATGGGTGGTGGGGAGCGGTGGCGCAGTGGTTAGCGCACTCGTCCCCTGTGTGAGTGAATGGGTGGTGGGGAGCGGTGGCGCAGTGGTTAGCGCACTCGTCTCCTGTGTGAGTGAATGGGTGGTGGGGAGCGGTGGCGCAGTGGTTAGCGCACTCGTCTCCTGTGTGAGTGAATGGGTGGTGGGGAGCGGTGGCGCAGTGGTTAGCGCACTCGTCTCCTGTGTGAGTGAATGGGTGGTGGGGAGCGGTGGCGCAGTGGTTAGCGCACTCGTCTCCTGTGTGAGTGAATGGGTGGTGGGGAGCGGTGGCGCAGTGGTTAGCGCACTCGTCTGCTGTGTGAGTGAATGGGTGGTGGGGAGCGGTGGCGCAGTGGTTAGCGCACTCGTCCCCTGTGTGAGTGAATGGGTGGTGGGGAGCGGTGGCGCAGTGGTTAGCGCACTCGTCCCCTGTGTGAGTGAATGGGTGGAGGGGAGCGGTGGCGCAGTGGTTAGCGCACTCGTCTCCTGTGTGAGTGAATGGGTGGTGGGGAGCGGTGGCGCAGTGGTTAGCGCACTCGTCTGTGTGAGTGAATGGGTGGTGGGGAGCGGTGGCGCAGTGGTTAGTGCTACGCTGCGCTACAAACCCGGCGTCCCGACTGCCATTCCTGCTCACGGCCACCACCAGTAACGATTATATCGGTCCAGGGCCTCCCCTAGGTCGACTCAACCTCAATTGTGTACCTGGTGCGATGTGTAAACATTGCCACTGGGGAGACAAAGGCGGCCGGGCGTGGTGCTGGCCACCCATCACCCCAAGAGTGTTGAAGGCTACACGGGGGACCTTTGGGGCCGTCCATAAATGACGTCACGCGATTTTGGATGAGTTTTGACCCCCCCCCCCCCCTCGTCACATGGCGTCACAAAAAGTCAGACCCCTCCTGAAATATGACATCACACAGCTCTGCCCCTCCCCCCAAAAAAATATAAAACATGCTTCAAATTGCTTTAAACTATTGTCATTGTAGTGCGTATTTAATGTGGCGCTGCACTCTGGTGTTGTAGGAGAAAACATTTATTAAAAATTATATTTAATTAAAGTTGCGCACTTTGATGTGACGTCACATTTCTCAACCCCCCCCCACTCGTCACACATCGTCACAAATGTATGACCCCCCCCCCTATAGGTGCGTGACGTCATTTATGGACGGCCCCTTTGTCTTTATAATACTAAACGTTGGTGTGTGTGTGTGTTTGAGAGAGAGAGAGAGTGGTCAGACCGCCCTGCTTATAAAGGTGTATGTTGAAACCGGTAACTCTCCATCAATGCAGACGTCATTCTTGGAAGAAGATTAAACGTGTTGGTATGCTGCCAGACAGAATATGTCAGTGTGCTTTTTTTTGGTGGGTTTAGATCGCGTAAATAAAAATGTGTCGTTAAACCCGCCACCACCCGTCACAGCCAAATTAGTAAGGTTTGCCTCGCAAACAAAACGTGCCAACTCGTTACTACTTCAGCACTAACCGGTTGTGTGTTGGAGAGTAAACCCACATTTACCATTCGGATGCGACGTTCCGCCGGTAATCACAAAAACCAGCTTCATCAGGCGACAGCCACAATTGTGTAGACATCATCCTCCTGTTTCGGGCTTAAATAGAGGGGTCATTTGTGGTGATGTTGTCGCTTGTGAGTCATTCTGGTGCGAGGGCGAGATGGGGGGGGGAAGTGATGCATTCATATCAATTACAATGGATATCTATAATTTTTGGTTATTGAGAGTTAATCAACACAATGTATGTAGATCCTGTCGTTTTTGGGTGAAAATTTCGCAATACACCTGTTATTTCAACACGTAGGATTTCGCGACCAATATTATTCATAATTAAAGGTTTTTGGGTTAGACCGCGTAAGCATGAATGTGTCGTGACCCTCCACCACCCGGCACAGCTGGTTCGGTTTGTGTTTGTGCTGGAGTGTAAATCTACAACATTTGCAGTTAAGTACGACGTTTCACTGGTCATTACATCCAAGTAACGAATTGGCACGTTTTGTTTACGTGACAAACCTTACATTTATACTTCCGCGATTAAACCCAAAACACCTTTATTATGAACACCTTTTATTGTTGGATGCACACCACCAGCCTTCACCTGTGGTTCCACATAAGGACTCGCGTGTTGTTGTTTTTCTTTCAAATGTGAACCTCGATCAAGAGAAGGTTTCTTCCCGAGTCAGCCGGAAAACACTGCCCTGTCGACACCATCATCACCACCACCACCACATGGCAGCCAATTCTAAACCCAGCTCGCACACAAAAAACCACAACCGTACGTACACGTGGCCATGCCAACGCCCCACGAGACACCCACCCATGCCTGCACAATGAAACAACAACAACAACAAAGAGGTGGCCATCGTGAGACAATACAACACTCACAGTCACACTCTAAAGTAAGAGCCCATTGTCATCCGCTGTCCTCTCTCGCTTTCGACTTTACATTTTCAAAATATCGACGCATCTCGCTGTTATAAAATTCCATTGTTACATTAAGCAGCCCCTCTCCTGAACCTCCTTCCGGTCCCCTTCAAGGTCACCTCTTTTCTCTTGTTCATTCTCTACGGGGCCGTCCATAAATGACGTCACGCACCTGGGGGAGGGGGGGTCAGACATTTGTGACGATGTGTGACGAAGGGGGGGGGTGAGAAATGTGACGTCACGTCGAAATTCGCAACTTTAAATAAATATAGACAACACGTTCTACTTAATTAAATAGACTTTTTAATAAATGTTTTCTTCTACAACATCAGAGTGCAGCGCCACATTAAATACGCACTACAATGACAATAGTTTAAAGCGATTTGAAGCATGTTTATTTGGGGGGGGGCAGAGCTTTGTGACGTCACATTTGAGGGGGGGGGTCTGACTTTTTGTGACGCCGTGTGACGATGGGGGGGGGGGGGTCAAAAATCGTCCAAAATCGCGTGACGTCATTTATGGACGGCCCCGAACTCTTCCCTCCCCTCACCCCTCCAGCCCTTCCCGTCCCTCCCCGACCTCTTCGTGATCTGCTTTTTTGTGTTTAGTTTCTTGTCCTCACCCGCGCACCTCCGGTTAGTGCGGTTGGCGACGTACGGTGCGAAAGAAGTTTAGCATACACACACAATGATGATGTGTGTAGGATAAACTTTGGTGCGCACGAAACAGCTCGTATCCGCCACCGGTCATTCTTAAGGTCAATACACAGACTATTATATTACTTTATAAACGTCGTCATGAACATTTACCCCCACAAACTTGATTTGGCGCGTTCGTGACTGCAGGAATTATTATTTGGTTCTTTCGGTAAAGTCACGTAGAAATAGAAAATAATAAATTACATAATATCATACGTTTCGATTGCAACGCAAGCAATCATCATCAGGTACAATACAGCGCAGATTTGCGCTGTATTGCATTATATTTCTAAGTTTACTCGGTTTCTCTTTCATTGTACCTGATGATGATTGCTTGAGTTGCAATCGAAACGTCGTATGATATTATGTAATTTATTATTTTCTCATTCTACGTGACTTTACCGAAATAACCAAAGAATAATTTACCCCACACGCTGTGTGTTTTAAAGATTTGCATTACTTTCATTTGGGAGGGATATGTTACTAATGTGTGTACAGAATCAACATTTGCGACTACATTTTGCCCTCAATTTTCACTCGGCAGCTCTTTCGCCACGAGAGGGCATGCTAACAGCGACGATGATATGCATTGGTGTGGGCTTTAAATTAAAATAAATTTGTATATAAAACAGGAAATCCTGAATACATTTCAGTGGTATTAATAGAAAATGTCTCTGTTGACAACCGCTGAGAATAGCCAAATTGTACAAAAAAATCTAACTATACACGCATTTCGAGTACTGTATTTATAACCAACTAGCTGTACTACCCGGCTTCGCCCGGGACTTGGATCCACCACGCCCGGCCGCCTTTGTCTCCCCAGTGGCAATGTTCACACACCACAATAGTTACTCGTTTGAGGCTGAGTCGACCTAGGGGAGGCCCAGGACCGGTTAAAATAATCGTCACCGGTGGTGGCCGTGAGCAGGAATCGAACTCGCGCTACACTACAATGCGCTACGCTTCCACACACACAGACACACACACAGACACATACACAGACACACACACAGACACATACACAGCGCGCTAACCACTACACTACAATGCGTTACGCTTCCACGTGCACGGGTCACGTAACAGATTTGACGTCACAGTTCACTTGCCGTGCAAAAAAATAATATATGCATTATTGAGCTCCCCCCTAAAAAAAGTGTATTTTTATAATTTTTGCATGGTGTACAGTCTGGAAAGTACCCACATGGCAAATTTCAAGTTTGTTGCATGTCGGGAAGTACGCTAAACATTTTGAACAGACACACATTCACAACTTTGCCTTTTATATATATGGGGATTTGGTGTCGTATACCCTTCTCCACCTGACACAGCCAAAAAAATCTAATTTGTCACGTGAGAAAAGCTTGCCAATTGATGTTTATTTATCAGCAGACCGGCCTGTCGAGTACTTTGTCCGTGCCAAGGCCGATTCCAGGCCGGTTCGGTCGGGTGGTCACTCACCAGAGCAGTATCGAGGCTCAAACCCCTGGCGCAGCATCTGAGATCCGACGAGGTTGGGCGGATTCGGAGTGATTTTGCCTCCTTTTGCATTTATTGCATCCCAAATGCAGTTAACAGTCCACCCAAGGCACCGCCGATTGGCTGCGTGCGGCGCAAAAGAAGTTCAACACACCTGTAAATACGTGCAGTATTCGGTTCACAATATAACGAGGTGTAAAATCTATTTCGATTTAAAGCTTTCGTGACTGCAGGGATTCATATGCTTGGTTCTCTCGGTAAAGTCACGTAGAAGGGAAATAAAAAAATAATAAAAAAATAAACCAATACAATTCTCACGACGTTTCGATTGCAACCCAAGCATACAACCTCAAATGCGGCCGGGCGTGTTGCTGGCCACCAACCCCCCCGTGTGCCGTGTCTAACTTCAGACTTTTGCTACTCGCTAACAGCAACAGTCTGTTAAGGCTCTCAGGGGGGTTTCTTATTGTTTGAGTGTGTATGTGATGGACGGGCTGTTGTGGGATGTGGGTATGTATATGTTGGGGGAGGAGGCTGGGTATGTGTGGAAGCGACGTGTCCGTGCGGTGGGAGGGTCAAGGACTATGTCGCCCTCCAACAGGGCAGAGGAGCGACGCTCACAACAACGAACGGAGGACGCCTGGCCAGGCGGGTTAAACTTAGCAAGTTGGCGCAGACGGGAGCGCAGGTCGTGCATCTGTCAGTCATCTCACTCAGTCAACCCCATCGTGGCACGTGGGTCTGTCCCATGACCTGCCAGCGAGCCTTCGACACTTCACGTGGCCTCAAAGTGCACCTAGCTTGGCACAAGAGCTGTGGCGTCACCGCCACTCAGTGGTGAACGGCGGTTGTTGTTGAACCGTTTATGTACGTGTCATGGGGTGGTGAAGGGGGTTTGTGTGTTGTGTGTGTGATGGTGAGTGGGTGTGTGTGTGTGATGGTGAGTGGGTGTGTGTGTGTGATGGTGAGTGTGTCCGTCCTGTGTGTGTGATGGTGAGTGGGTGTGTGTGATGCTGAGTGGGTGTGTGCTGTGTGTGCTGTGTGTGATGGTGAGTGGGTGTGTGTGTGTGATGGTGAGTGTGTCCGTCCTGTGTGTGTGATGGTGAGTGGGTGTGTGTGATGCTGAGTGGGTGTGTGCTGTGTGTGCTGTGTGTGATGGTGAGTGGGTGTGTGCTGTGTGTGATGGTGAGTGGGTGTGTGCTGTGTGTGTGTGTGATGGTGAGTGGGTGCGTGCTGTGTGTGCTGTGTGTGATGGTGAGTGGGTGTGTGCTGTGTGTGTGTGTGATGGTGAGTGGGTGCGTGCTGTGTGTGCTGTGTGTGATGGTGAGTGGGTGTGTGCTGTGTGTGTGTGTGATGGTGAGTGGGTGTGTGCTGTGTGTGTGTGTGATGGTGAGTGGGTGCGTGCTGTGTGTGCTGTGTGTGATGGTGAGTGGGTGTGTGCTGTGTGTGCTGTGTGTGATGGTGAGTGGGTGTGTGCTGTGTGTGTGTGATGGTGAGTGGGTGTGTGCTGTGTGTGTGTGTGATGGTGAGTGGGTGTGTGCTGTGTGTGATGGCTGTGGAATGTGAGTGGGTGGCTGTTGTGAATTCAGGGGGCGGGCGGGCTGTCCGTGCCGCCCCTCACTCGGAAGTCGGCGCTGCCGCCTGAACTCGCTCCCCGTGTTCGCCCAGCCCATCTCCCCGTGTTAATCCGTCTCCTCTCTCCGCGTCTTCTCCGCCTAACTTTCTAGAGTCAACAACATCCTCGGGCACGTCCACCAACCCTCCACCTCCTCCTCGTCCTCCTCACGATGGCCGCTTGCGGGATGCTCAACGCGGCCGTGGCCCTGCTCGTGGTGGCCGTGCTGCCGGCATCGGCAGACCGTGAGTACGGTGGTCGGGGTTTAGTGCCACGTGCTTGCTGCTTCTTACTCAGGGGCAAGTGTGGCTGGAGCAGGCGTTGCTGGACGGATAGTCGCCGGTACCCTTTAGCTGTGGGCGCCACGGTGGCCACGGAGATGTTAACTACCTCGCATGGTACACAGGAGGTTGGTGGGTTAGATCCCGACGTCTGGTGCCTGCTGTGTTTTTGTAGTTTGCTTCTCTCTCATCATCATCACGGTGGCTATGGAGATGTTAACTACCTCGCATGGTACACAGGAGGTTGGTGGGTTAGATCCCGACGTCTGGTGCCTGCTGTGTTTTTGTAGTTTGCGTCTCTCTCATCATCATCACGGTGGCATTGAGATGTTAACTACTTCGCATGGTATACAGGAGGTTGGTGGGTTCGATCCCGATCCCTGGTGCCTGCTGTGTTTTTGTAGTTTGCGTCTCTCTCATCATCATCATCACGGTGGCTATGAGATGTTAACTACCTCGCCTGGTACACAGGAGGTTGGTGGGTTAGATCCCGATCCCTGGTGCCTGCTGTGTTTTTGTAGTTTGCGTCTCTCTCATCATCATCATCACGGTGGCTATGAGATGTTAACTACCTCGCCTGGTACACATGAGGTTCGTGGGTTCGATCCCGACGTCTGGTGCCTGCTGTGTTTTTGTAGTTTGCGTCTCTCCCTCTCCCCCCATGGTCGCGTGGATTTTTTTCCCGGCTCTTCCCGTTTTCCCCCTCCACATTTGGAATCAACAAACACGCGTTTAGAGCATTAGGCCGCTGCGATTATATTCCCACGCGATGATGAGCCCACTTCGTTAGGCTACCGTTTGTGATCGCTGTTATAGCTCAGTGTGCCTTATCTGGTCATGTAAAACAAAAAGTTTGAGTGTAGTGTAGGCCAGATAGGCAGTGGTGTGCCCACGGCGGTCTAAGTACTTCTCACGTGCGTTAAAGTCACCGTACAACATTCTGCGTTTATTGCGAAACCTTTTTCGTGGATGTACGGTAACCAGTTCGTTGGTGTTGTTGTTGTCACGCAAACCCGACGAGATGTTGACAGCCCCACAGAGTCCTATCGGTCGCGTGAGTTCACGTGGACGGACAGAGCCGGTCATTTGGGCTACCAAATGACCCACGGGGCAGTAACATTCCACGCCTCTTCTCTGGCCAATGAACCCTCCAACACCCGACGAGATTGTCGCGTTTCATAAAGATATTGTAATTATTATTTTTGGTAATACAATTGATTTGATACAATTCTGGCCAGTTAAGGTTCTTCCCCACCACCGGTGAAGTGAGCTCGGAATACGACGTTGGAGTGCCCCATGGCACGTATTTAGCAACATCCCTGTACCGTCTGTATGTAAGTTGAACTTCTTTCGCACCGTACGTGGCCGCCAAACGTTCTAATCGGGGGTGCGGGGAAGGACGACAAACTTGACACACAAAAACCTGTTCTAAAGAACAGCGTGTTGAATGTGCCAATGTTGTCTGGTGGTGGAGGGCTTTGACCCACACTGCCCCGTGGCCTAAACCCAATGACAAAGTTTGATGGCGTGTTTTTTTGGCTGCGGAGACCCAAACCACGTTTTTTTAAAAATTTCACTCGGCAAGCATCGCGTGGGTTTCTTCGCGACCATTTGCCGATTACGAGTTCTGACAAGCCATCGTCACGTTTCATTCTGGGTAAAGCGAGTTGAGTTGCGATTCCATTTCTCGTGCGTCCGGACAATAAGTTGGCCACGTGTGAACTAAGCCTCAATTTCCAAACATCAAAATGACTCGATGGGGATGACACACCGCAGAGGCAGCAATCGCTGTACCCCGCCTACAATTGGCAAGGTCACTCTTAAACAACGAGACTATCCTGGTCTCTCTCCGACGAGCTAACATTCAGGTTACACAAATCAACTTGTAAACCTTACCCAGTTAACTTTCATGTGACAATTACAACATCAACAACACGCGACACACCCACCCACGCCTGCAAAATGAAACGACAGTAACATGAGGTTGTCTATCGTGAGACAGTAAAGCACTCACAGTCACATCCTCACATAAGAGCCCATTTAATTCGTTGTCCGCATCTCGCTTTAGACTTTACATTTTCAAAATATCGAAACATCCCCCCCCCTGTTATAAACTTCCCTTGTACATTAAGTAATCGCCCTCCTTAACCTCCTTCAGTTCCTCTTCAAGCTCACCTCTTCTATATTGTTCATTCTCTTTCCTCGGCCCTCCACTCCTTCCCGTCCCTCCCCGACCTTTTCGTGATCTGCTTTTGTGTTTAGTTTGGTGTCCACCCCTTACCCCCCCCCCCGGGTACCTCCGATTAGCACTGTTGGCCACGTACGGTGCGAAAGAAGTTCAACATATATTGTATACAGTACATACAAGAGGGGGGCTGAGCACCCCACATGCTGAATATTCAGCACCCCCCCCCCCCCCTTTAAATGAGAATTATAGTAAAGTCAAAATATGCTGGGTCACAATGTAACACCCAGTTCACGTTGTCATTGAACCTCTCCTCCCATGCACAAAGCTCACGGGGGATATGAGAATTGGAGCAGAATGCACTGTAGACAAAAACAGAACATTACTCATTCTGGTTAGCGTTTAACATTTTGTTTAAAGTTTGTTTAACATTAACTGGCATGCCCCCCCTCGCCGCCCCCCTTCAGAGTTTATTGGATTCCCCCCCTCCCCTTCAAACAATGCGCCCATACAGCGTTATAAGTTGTCACAATATCATAACCGCGTTGAAACTATATTTCTTGAAAATACTTGTCCATCGGTAGCGTCTGCTAAAGTTCCATTTGAAAGATTACAGTTTGCGCGAGGGCGGTTAAGTTTCCGAAATTGCGAGGATTTTGATGCTGTCCATTGCCGAGTGACAAAGAGCCCAGCAAAGATGGCTGTGAGTGCCGTGTCACCAATCTCCCTCATGTAGGCTTTGTTGTCGTCTCCCATGGAACCCATGCTCGCGCGTGTGTGTTTATTCATTAACCCCCATTACCCAAGCCCAGAGTTACTGCAGTCAGCAAACCGTGAATCAGGACGCGACATCAGACGTTGTAGGGCATGGAGCCTCGGGTTGCCAGCTGTCATGGTTTGACCTGGACAAGTGGCCACCCAAGATTTGTACCGAGATCTGGTGCGATTGGGTTGAATTGTATTCGTACGGTAGACCTCAGATGACTGAGAAAGATATCTGGGTTTGGTTGGTGGAAAAGGTGGCAATTATATATCTGCATATTAGATAATGAACATCACATTATCCTGAACTAACCAATAATTCTAACTTGACCATTTTTCTACATTTTTTATATTTTGATTGCATATTTTTTTATTTAAACTGTAAAAAATGGATAAAAATGTGGACATTCGACTGCCGTTAATGGTTCAACCTTTGTGAACAACCGAGTATCTCTCTATGTAGTGCAAATTCCACATTCCTAGGAGAAGTGTAAATCATTCTATAGGACAACCGTTTCTTAAATGTTGGTATTTTTTGTATCCACCCTGGCAGGATGATGGGCTGAGTTTACACCTCAGCATTGACAACCTTAATTTAAAAACAATCTCTCACAACAGCATTGACTTTCATGAGCGTTGGCTTGTGGGATTACTGTATGGGCATCTGCCTCCCAACTCTTGAAAAGAAGGGGGTGGGTGGGAAAGTCGTGCTGTGCCTCCATCCCTTCGTGGCCGTGATTGGCCACTTAACATGGGCCCCATGGCTACGTGGCCCACCAGCATTACACACCGCGTCCTTGTGACCTGTTCGTATGGCTGATGTTGATTTGTAGAGCAGCAACTGTACTTTTACATTGAGCTGGTTGAGTCAGGGGTAGCGGAATTATGAATCCTCTATTGATGCCTCTTCCTCTGTATTTGTGAATCGGGCATTGAGTCGTGTTGTATGTTCTGACCACAATCGCACGTTGCCAGAGAGTTTTTTTATTTCCTATTTTGGCTCTCTCCTTGTGGCTGTGAGTCAGTTACTCCATTTGGTAAACACGCCACTGAGGTGGATAGTTCTGCATTTTTATGTTTGACAGCGTTCTTTATATCCGGTACTTTTAAAGTTTGCGCTGTACTTTGCCCACGACATGCTGTGTAACCAGAATGGGTCTCGATGGGATTTAAACCAAGTTACAACGTTCACAACTAATATGGCGTACAGTACAGTGTTTACGAAGACTTTAATTATACCTGAAGTTGAGAGAAAATAACTCCTGTACACTGTTTCAAGTATTAACTTGTGGATTTAGACCGCTATAAATCATAATGTAACGGAATCAACTCGGGTTTCTATGTGTGAACCTGGGATCTTACGAAAATTATTTTCAAATATTCGGTAACTTTTTTGTAAGAGTCTGCCTTAGGTTTTTTTTTAACAAACAATCAATTCCCTGAAATAAAGTTTAATGATACAATTATTAATGTCGTCTGTAGGATAACATAAGTCCTTGCAGGTGAATGTTTCCCAATATCATTTGTGATATAACTAGAACTTGCCAAACGTAAAACATGACACAAATTACTTGGTGATGCTGCGTCATCAGTGGTGCACAAGCGCAAATGACAAAACCCTCACCACATCCGTCAATACAATTTCTTAAAACAGCATGCTTTGTACGTATGTATGCTGAACTTCTTTCGCAACGTACCTAGCCAACCGCACTAATCGGAGGTGTGGGGGAAGAACAGCAAATGAAACGCAAAGAGCAGTTCTAAAGATATTAGTTTAAAATCTAGATTTAAAAGTGCATCGCTTCAGGATGTCTAGCTTTCGCGTGATGGCTTATATTCCTTCGCGAGATCAGCAAGTCTTGATCTGAAGCTTTCGTGACTGCAGGAATCCCCATACTCTTTGGTTCTTTCGTTAAAGTCACGTAGGTATAAAATAAAATCAATCACGGCGTTTCGGGCGCAACGCAAGCGTCCCGTCAATCGGCAAGGTTTTGCGGTTCATTTGTTGGGCGAGCTC